TAACATAAATCTGATTTTATGACTCCTGTTCTTAACAAAATTCCATGGTCTGCCATAACAAGTTCATAGTACCTATCTGGCTCAACCAGGCCTGAAACAATCTAAATTGAACCGCCCTTTTCAACTTTGTTTCCTGATATAATTCTCTTGTAATGTTATATAAAACAACTCACTGTTTTCTGAACCTCTATAACCATGCACACATTAGTCCTCCTTCTTGGAATGTCATTTCCCCACTTCCCCACTCAGAAAATTCCTATGAATATTTCAAGTCAGAATCCAATTTCTTTGTGAACTTCTCCTTATTTTCTCTGAAAGAATTTTCCTCTCTCTCTTCTGGGCTCGTAGAGCACTTAATACTTATTTTGGTGATGGTACAGAGCACATTGCCTGGTGACCTCTAGCTTGAGTCTCTCCCTATAAATTGTACCTTGTTTAGAGACAGTCACTATGGCTTATTCCTCTACCTCTTTGATCCAGTGCCTACCAGTTTGTCTGTACACATATTTTTGTTCAATAAATAAATGGAAAAGATACACCATCATTCATAATTTAATTATGCAGTCAAAAGTGGGAGTTTTAACTGCCTCCCTATGCCATATTCCATCCTTTCTATTTACAATGTTAGTAAACAATAGACTCATTATAAATTAAATGTACAATAAAGAATACAATGGTTTGGAGAAAAAAAATATTTTGGAAATATTTTTCCAAGGAACCTAGTTTTGGAAGCTAAGGCACTGTCTGTTAAATATTGCTTTTCTTCTTGCAAAACAATAATTTTACATCATGTGGGATGGCAAGTTCTCGTACCTTGTCAAATTTTTTATTTAAGCTTCTGATATAATCCTCTGATGCCAATTCAAAGTTGCTATTTTTAAATGAATACTTTCCTTGAACTGACTTTTAATTCCTTGGGTATCTTTTGCTTGTTATTAGCAGTTGAATAGTTGTGCCTGTGCATCAGGGTTCAGGAAAATAGCTACCATCTGCCAAGAACCACAGACCTTAGCCCTTGGTCTCTGTTTTCCTGACAGCACCGCCTTCTCTAATGGAAGTTATCAGTACCCAGGGAGCTCTCTGCTGGCACTCAGTAGTAGAAATATTAACACCGTATGGCCCATCCGAGGTAAATTAAATTTCATCATGTCTCTTGCTAAAAATAAACTAAAAGGAGATGGTGAACCTTTGGACAGATTAAGTAAATAGCAATATTAAAAACTCTCCAAACTGGAAATGGAGCACACCAGTCCTCAAGAGGTTAAACCATTTAAAAAATAGATTGCTCAAAGGAGGAAAAATATAGATCTCTCAAGAACTCACTCTGACAACTCACTTAATAAGCACATACTGTTTGTTCTCAGAAAAGTCAGCTTTTTAATTTAGAGGAGTTGAAAGGTTCATTTCTGGAAACAGCTTGTCCTCAAGCTTTTTAATAGTTCAGTAAAACTGAGAGTGGGAGTGGGAGGATGAGTACAATGGAAATACTCCAGCCTTTTCATTGACCTTACTTGGTGCATGATAAGAAAGTTTCCAGGGTGTAAATAAATCAGGATTCTACTAAGTTCCCTGAATGAAGTTTAATAAACACCCTCTACTTTAAAATCAGTCCCCATAACCTCTAAAAATCTGATTATTCAGGAAAAAAGAAACTACACAGTGAAGTAGAAACATCCACGCATGACGGAGATAGCTAAGTGCTCCTACTTACAATTTAAAAAACTGTTTAGGATAGCCAAGATACTTCATATGTAAATAGCCTAGCATGTTTATTCAGGAAGGCTTTAAGCAGAATGGTTCAGATTATAAGGCCTCATGAATGCCTGGATTTGACTCCCAGGTTTTCAACTTACAGGGCACTTGTATACGTAACCTGTATAAGCCTCAGTTTCCTTATATGTAAAATGGAAATAATAATAGTATTTCCATCATAGGGTTATTATGGATGTTAATATGAGATGGTACTAAGGGGCACTAAGTAAAAATTTTATCTGGACACGTAAAACATTGAACGAGGCAAATAGATTTTGAAGATCTGTTTAGATAAAGAAGACTCACGAAGCATAATTCTGCTTAGTTATCAGGGATCAGAGAATATTGACGTTCATCCAGCTAATCCTCTTATTTTATAAGTGAGTAAACAGAGCAGTATTACAATCTTCATTCTATTAAAGATTTTTCTAAAAAATATTCCATGCACTTTAAACTTTAGAAAGTTATCTTGTTAGAAAATTATTCTTTAAAGATATTATAGAGATTCATAGATATTACCTTTACAATTATTTTCTCAAAAATTTTAAACACCTTTACCGAGATATTATTGAAATACCTTACAATCCACCCCATTTAAAGTGCAAAATTCAATGTTTTTAGCACGTTTCCAGATTTGTGCAACAATTATATCAATTATAACCACAAAAGGAAACCTCATACATGTTAGCAGTCATTCTCCATTTTCTCCCAACTTGCTCTAGCTCTGAGTTACTGCTAATTTACTTTATATCTCTACAGCTTTGCCTATTCTGCACATTTCATACAAATGGAATCATACCATATGTGGTCTTCTGTAATTGGCTTCTTCCACTTAGCATAATGCTGTCAAGGTTCATTCAGGTTGTAGCATATATCACTATTCATTCCTTTTTATTATCAAATAATATTAATCTTGTATGGGTAGATCACATTTTGCATATCTATAGATTAGTTGGTGGATATTTGGATTGTTTTTACTTTTTGGATATTGTGAATAATGCTGTTATAAATATGTGTGCATGAGTTTTTGAGTGGGCATATTTTTAAATTTATCTTAGGTATATACTTAATAGTAAGATTGTTGGGTCATATAGTAACTCTGGATTTAACACTTAAGAAACTGCCACACTGTTTTCCAATCAGCTACATGATTTTGCATTCCCACCAGAGATAAATGAGGTTTCCATTGTCTCTATATCCTCAACAACACTTTTTATTTTTTGTCCTTTTTGTATTTTTTGATTATAGCCAGTCCTAGTGAGTATGCTATCTTAGGTGTTAGGTGATTTTCATTTTTATTTCCTTAATGGTTAATGATATTGAGCATATTTTCATGTAAATGTTGGGCATTTGTATATTTTCTTTGGAGAAATGCCCATTCAGATCCTTTGCCCATTTTACAATTGGGTTATTTATCTTTCTGCTTTTGAGTTTTAAGAGTCTTTATATGTTTTGAATAAAATTTCCTTGTCAGATGTTTATTTTCTCTTATTCTGTCAGTTGTAACTGTCACTTTTTGAATGAACTCTCTATTAGTTAATCAGTTCAAGAATGACAAAATAATAATTGTGCTAATAGCCCAAGTCTAACTTCAGCAAAACCAGCTAGAGTTTAGCATAATAATTTTACAGATTTTAGCTGTTCTGACATCTAAACCAGAAAAAGGGGTTAGGATTATGTTGGAAATGAGACCTTTTTTCCAAAAGGATATTTAAACACTAGCATGATGAATTATGAATATCCCAATGAAACCAATCCATTGTTAATTACCATATAATTATTTTATTAACTAATGCAACTGTACAAAGTCATGTAGGAGATGAATAGTAACGATAGTGTCCTCAAATTGCTTATAATTTAAATGTTAAACTACTGTACAAATAATAATAGTGTATCTAAAAAGTGATTGGTTCAATACTGAGGAATTAATATGTCCTAGGTAATACTAAGCCTTCAGGAAGCAGAAACATTGAGACGATCTGTTTTGCCTTGAGTGGCTCTGAGTCAGATGTGAGTGAAAATATACACATTTTACATGTTGCATATAAAGACGTTACCATGAAATGCAATGTATAAAGTAATAGAGCACTGTACTAGTCCAGGAGTGATCAATTCTACACGTCAAGGTCAGAGAAGACCTCACACAAGAAACTTTATAAAAGAAAAAAGTTGCAAGCACAATAATAGAAACAAATATATATATGTATATTCCATTTTATATATATATATATATTCCATTATATACACAAAGAAAGAGGTAGGCATCTGAGCACATATCAGTTAATGGAAGAAGCCATAAAACTAATAAAATCTTCAAAGTGAGGAGCATAAAGATAGGATGTAAATTTCGAGATTCAGTGACTGAGAAGCTCGAAAAACCCACTCTCCCCTTTACCCACCCCAGAAGTTTTCTGAAGGACACAAATTAGTAACTAAATCTTTCAAAGTCAATTTAGGTCACATGAAGGAAGTTCTTCATGTAACTAACTCCCTTTCCCACCTTTCTCCTCCTCTCGGGTTCTTGAGAATAGATTCAGAATAGAGCTGGGTTTCACAATTTTTTGCCTGCCTCAAGAGATTGCAGACTTTCTTCATGGCATCAGTGAGCTGATGCTATCAGGACAGACTTAAAATATCTTTTCTTGGCTTTGAATATAAAAGGGAAGCCAAGGAAGACTTGTTTCTTCTGGACCAGAGCCAGCTACCACAATTATTCCTACAAGTTTCTCTTTAACAAGAAGACATCATTAGCCCTTTCCTGGTGCTCCATGCATTTGATTCTGAGTGAAGATCTCAAAGACATGCAAGGAATATTTTTTTTTTCTTTTATTCCTATCATCGTCATTATCATATTAATTGTACACCTACTTTACACAGGTCATTTTGCTAAACTTTGCATATTTTAATAGTACAAAAAGTGATCCTAATTTTTAAAGATGCTTTTAGTCTGAGAGAAGTAGGGATTTTTATTTTTCCCTGTTTAATTAAATTATTTCTGTAAGAACTAGACTCCTCATTTAGAAACTTCTACCATTTATTATACCACAAGCTGAGGGCAGAAGACATGATTATAACTTAGATTTGTTTAAAATTTATATTCATAGCTTACATTTATCTAAAATTAATATCCATAACTATCAAAATTGAGAACAAACAGAATAGCTATTGAATTAATTATACGGTTCTATATTTCTCTTCAAGCAAGTTCTTCTCAGTCAGTAATATCATGCTTGTTATGCAATTCTTACCTGGAAGTCAAAAGCCCAAGAGCCTCTAAAGGTTGAGAAAATGTCCATCTTCTCAAAATGGTATGCATTTCTGAAACAGTCCTTTCATCCCATCCAGGGGCACTACCCAGGACTAGAGGAAGGGAGCAGTTTTCATTATTGCAGTAGAAGCGATAAAACCACAAATATCTTTTCTTTTCTTCAGAGAGTCTGAAAAACCAGATTGGAAATAGTAATTTAGTGGAGTTTGCTGCACTAACAAATGTTGCTATAAATATGCAGTACCAAACCTTACTTTACTTCTTTGAATTTTATTTTAGCTTACTTTTAAAAACGTCTTTTACCTTCCTGGGATAGCTTCATAGGTTATTTCATCAGTTTATTTTCCACTAACTTTAATCTTTTGTATTATTATTTTGAAAAAGAAAAAATCAATTCAGATAACTCACATTTATTTTTGTTCACTCTTATTCGTGTTTTTTTTTTTTTTTTAATATGTCATTTTGGTTGGCAAAATCTCTCTCCCCTAGGGAAAACCAAGTTTATCTGAATCCTGTGACACATCCTATTTAGAACAAAGGTAATCAACCATTCACTTTCTTATTTTTTTTATTTTTTATTTTTTACAAATTAACTGAGATCCAAGTGGGCCTATGAAAAAAATGGCATATTTTAGTAATGATATTTCTTCATCTCAAAGCAAGTTTTATCAGAGTTCAGAAATCTTTGCTGTTGTTAACTTCAAAAACAAAGATCTCAATTCATCCCTGGATTATGTCTTTAAATGTTCAGAGTTCATGGGAAGTTTGGCGTGAAAATGTCAGTGATGCTAGTTTCTTAGATGCTCAAGTATTTCCCCCTGGAGAGTAGTCTGAAATAAAAGATCTAAATCTAGGACTAGGGCCTTGACTTGCTGACAATTTATCATGTTTTGCTCACACTCCAGTAGAAGTATTCAGAACCACAGTTCAATTGGAGGACAGCTTCACACAATGGCATTTGAGCACTCTCTCCTCCAAACTGACACTGAGCTTGAATCTGCTGAAACTCCCAAGAAAGCTAATGAAACATAAAAAAATCTTTTAAAAGTCTCTGTTTCTCTATAATTCATGTTAAAGTTTTCCTCATCTGTAAAAAGAAAAGATTGGATTATAGGTGATTTTGAAGGTGCGTTTAGTTTCCTTTTCTTATATTTTGCTACCACCTTTTCCTCGGAAAAAGCCACAGAAGAAAAAATATTCATAGTAAAATTACTAAAACATATTTGCTCAGATTAAATTTTTTTCCCCAATACTGAACAATGCTTTCTTTCTTTTTTTAAGCTCCTTTTGTTAAAGCAAATTCACAATCAAGGACATGCCACAGATTCAGTTCAATAAATTATTACAAATGCATATACCAGATAACAACCACACTCCTTTCAAGATATAAAACAGTTGTTTTCATGTCATCGGAGGCAAGCACTGGTATCATTTCTTTCTCTCTCGATAAATATTAACCTTTTAGAACTTCATATAAATGGAATCATAGAGTAAATATGTTTTTATTTATGGCTTCTTTCACTCCATTATATAATGTTTTTGAAATCATCCATATTGGTTGAGTTTGTCAATAGTTAATTCCTTTTAATTAATGAATATTATTCCTTTGTGTAATTGTGCTATTATTTACTTATTTACTCTCCTGTTTGATGGACATTTGGGTTGCTTCCTTTTGGGGGGTATTATGAATAAAAGTGCTGTGATCATTTGTGTATAAGTTTTTATATGAATGTATTTTTCATTTCTCCTAGGAAATATCTATGAGAGGAAGGACGTGGTTATGTGTTAGGTATTTATCTTTACAAAAAATGGTGAAACTGTTTTCCGAAGTAATTGTAAAATTTTACATTATTGCTTGCATAGTATGATAGTTCCATTTGTACCATATTCTTGCCAACTCTTGATTTTGTCTGTCTTTATAATGTTATCCATTCTAATGGGTGCATAGTGGTATCTCATTGTGCTTCTAATTTATATTTACTTGGGGTCTAGGCAATTTTTCATATGCTATTTTCTTATATCTTTTGTTGGAGCTCTCCTCTCATGTCTTTTCCCTACTTGTTTGTTTAGATTCATTTGCATGATATCTTTATATACTCTAGATACAAAAAGTTTGTCATATAAATGTTTGCACATATTTTTCTCAGAATGTGGCTTGCCTATAGATTTCCTTAACGGGGGCTTTTCATGAATAGTTTTACATTTTGATGATGCCCAATTCAGAATTTTTAAAATAGTTATTACTTTCTCTATTTGTTTAACATTGGCTATCTTAACATTCATTCTTGTGGTTTTTTTCTCAAGTATTCTGAAAGCAATATTTTACTTGCTGAAAGTATTTTTTTCATTTATGGCGTGGGTGGCATTGTCAAAAATACAATGAACCTACAAATGGGTCTCTGGCTTTCTATTCTATCTACACCGAATTCTATTCCATTGACCTATTTGCCTATCCTTAAGCTATATCACACTAGCTTAATTGCTGTAAATTTATAGTACCTAAATCCACACCCTTTATGAAGTCAGACTTCGTTCTTTTTTCATGATTGCTTTGACTATTCTAGGTTTTTTGCATTCCACATAAATACTGAAGTCAACTTTTCAATTTCTACAAAAACCTGCTGAGATTTTCATTGGGATTATATTTTATTTACAGATGAGTTTAGAGAGAATTATCATCTTAACCATAGGAATCTTTCAATCAATGAATGCAGTATATTTTTCATTTATTTAGATTTTCCTTAATTTTCCTTAGCAAAATTTTACACTTTTCAGTAAATAAAATTTTATTAAATAATTTACTAAATTTTAGTAAAAAATTAGTAAAATTTTAGTAAATAAAATTTTGATGTAGTAAATACAATTCCAAAACATAATTTATTTTATATATATTTTTACTGGAACACAATCAGATCTTGTACATTTATCTTAAGTGTTATGACCATTACATAATCATGCTATGTGCAAATAGTCAGTTTTATTTCTTTCTTTTCAATTTTTACCTTAATTTTTTTTTTCACATAGTGTGCTGGCTAGGATTTCCCATACAAGATTAAAGATAAATGTTTGAAGCAGACATCGTGGCTTTGTTTCCAACCTTAGGAGAAAGGATTCATTCTTACATGATTTAACGTGATACTAACTATAAACTTTTCATAGATCACTTTTCAAGGTTGAGAAAGTTTCACTTTATTTCTAGTTTTAACATGAATGGATATTGAACTTTATCACTTTTTTTCTAGATCTAGCAAGGTGATATGATTTTCCTGGTAAATATTCTCATTCTTTTACTTTTAATCTAATTGCTTATATATAAAACATGTTCCTGTAAACAGAATACAGTTATATATTGCTTTTTTGATGTGGGCTGACAACTTCTGCTTTTTAATTTGAGTTCTTAGTGCATTTACATTTAATGTCATGTTGATATGGTCACCTAATCATACCAATGGCTCACTGTATTGCTATTTGTTTCTATGAGGTGTTTTTTTTCTCTTTGTCCAAAGCATTTCTTAGTCCCCTTTTTTCTTTTTATATTTCCTTTTAGATTTTTTTCTGTTATATTTCATCTTTATCTTCTCCTTGGCTTTTAAATATACTCTTAAAATTTAAGGGGTGTGGTTTTCCTAGATATTAAAATATCTTTGTTTAAGCATATTACAGCCAATCATGAATTAACATTATGCATCCTTACATATAATATAAAAAACTTGGAACAGTTTACTTCCATTTTCCATTTTCATTCTTATTGAAGTTATTATAAATTTTATTTTTTATATATTATAAACCCAGAGTACATTGTGATTCATTTTTCTTTAATCGCTTTTAAAATAAATTAATAAATATGTAAATGAAACTATTTTTATTTATTTACCTATTTTGGGGTATTTTTCATTTCTTCTTATAGATTTGAGTTTCCATCTAGTATCATTTTCTTCCAGCTTGAAGGACTTATTTTATTATTTTGTATAGTACGGATGAACTGATAATAAACTAACTCAGCTTCATTTGGTTGAAAATATCTTCATTTGGCCTTAATTTTAAGAAATACAATTTTACTGTGTATAGAGTTCTAATTTGAAAAAGTTGTTTTCATCTTTAACACACAAAGATAGTATTCTACTGCCTTTTGTTTGTTTGTTTGTTTTTGATGAGAAGCCTGTATTTAGTGTTTTATATAGAATATTATAATATTAATATTATAGTTGTTTCTCTATATGGAATTTGTTTATTTTCTCTGATGTTTCTAAATTTTTATATTTATCTTATTTTTCACTTATTTCTCTATAATGTATCTAGGGGGTGTGTGAGAGAGAGAAAAAGAAAGAAAAGAAAGAGAGAGAGAAAGAAGGAAAGAAAGTAAAAAAGAAAGAAAGAAAAGAAAGAGAAAGGAAATCAAGAAAAAAGAAATTTCAGTAATTTCTCTATAATGTATCTAGGGTGTGTGTGAGAGAAAGAAAGAAAAGAAAGAGAGAGAGAGAAAGAAGGAAGGAAAGAAAGAAAGAAAGAAAGAAAGAAAGAAAGAAAGAAAGAAAGAAAGAAAGAAGGAAAGAAGGGAAAGAAAGAGAGAAAAAAAGAAAAAGAAAGAAAGAAAGAAAGAAAGAAAGAAAGAAAGAAAGAAAGAAAGAAAAAGAGAAAAAGGAAGAAAGAAAGAAAAAGGAAGAAAGGAAGAGAGAGAGTATGTATTTGCTTAGGGGTCACTAAGACTTTTACTTCTTATATTTGTAGGTTAATTTTTCCAAAAAAGTCAAATTTGTAAAATTTGGCCATCTCCCTAATTATTTTTTGCCTCAGTATCTTTCTCCTTTTTGGTGTGTCCAATGCACACATATTGTTTAATATTGTTCCTCAGGTCATAAGGTGCTCTCATTATTTTCAAGGTTTATTTTCTTTTTGTACCTCAACATGGGGGATAATTCCTATTGCCCTGTCTTTAAGCTCACTGTTCTTTTTTTCTTGCATTTTGCAATCTATTAAGCCCATTTACTGATTTTTTTAAACAAATATTTTAGGTATTGTGTTTTCAGTTCTTAAATTTCCATTTTTTTAGTAAGATTCATTTTTTCATTCATATACATCGTTTAAAAAATCATTAAATATCTTTATAATAGCTGTATTGAAATCATTATTTGCTAATTTAAAACTCTTCAGATCTGTTTCTATTAACCACTTCCTCTCCCCAGGCTGTTTTTATATTTTCCTGATTCTTTCCAATTATTTTCCTAGTTACTGATTGTATACTAGACATTTTCCAATAGTTTTCTCAATTATTGATCATATGCTAGACATTTAGAACAGTACATTATTCAGAGTCAGCATTCTGCTATTTTTCAGGTGTTGAATCTCATTTTTTTTAGTAGACAGTTCAATTACTGGAAGATCAGCTTAATTTTTTTGAGACTGGTTTTTATTATTTGTTAGGTTGAGCCTACTACCGTCTTTAATCTAGGGCTAGAATGGACTTAATCCTAATATGCATCTTTTTGGTTTCTTTATTAAATGTAAGGGATGGTCTGTGAGCTTTCTCCATTCTTATTGGTCAGAATTTCTATGTCTTCCAGCATTGTGTGGCTTCTCAAATCACATTTATTTTATATCTCCCTGAAGTAGTTCTCTTGTAAGCCCTGGAAAGTTTCCACCTGCTCATGAGTAGTTTAGCACTCAACTAAATATTTAAGACTCCAATACAGATTTCTGCAGCTCTCGTCCTGCGGTATGATGCTCTGAAGATGCCAGCTGCCTCAGCATCACTGAACTCTAAATTCTGCCTTTTTAAAAATACCTCAGCAGGAGCTGCATTCTCTTCTTATATTCTACCTTCCCAAGTCATGTGGGAGGACCCAGGTATAGAAAGTGACTCCAGGCTGAAAGCCACTTTAATCCCAAGGCTTACCTCAAGTCCTCTCTGTTTAATTTATGAAAACAGTTGCTTCGTATCTTTCTCCTGTCATAGTTCTGTCAGTCAGGGGGATTGGTCTTGCACTAGGTATTCCTCACAGTAGAAGTAGAAGCACTAATCTATTTTAGAACATATACGGTTACATATTTCATTCTGGGGTCTTTAGATTTGGAAGCATTTTTTGGTTGACATCAACAAGATTTTTTTTTTTTCAATTTTTATTTTTTACAAATATCACAGGCATATTTTCATGAGTTCCATTGAGTCTGAACTTCCTCACTGTGATTACTTTTGGTCAGTTTTAAAGAAGGAATAATTAAGTCATCAACTAAATGATAAAATGTGGCAATGGGAAACTGAGGTTAATCTGATTCTAACACAAGTTTCACCACATTGAAGGCTGTTCTCCATCTGTTTTCACAGTCTAGAATAAAACTGCACCATGCTGAACATTAATAATTGTATTCGAGTGGGTGAAACAGAGGAAAATGTTGCTTGTTTTATGAGTGTTATTAGCTTAAATAGAAACTGAAATATAAAACAATTAGAATTCACTGGGGTTAATTTAAAAACACAAACCTCTGATATTTAAAGGCAGTTACCATGATTATTATTTGTTGGTTTTGACTTTTTTTTGTTTGAATATATTTAAAATTTCAAGGCATCTTTTTCATATTAAAAACCTAAGTATAAATATGCTAGCCTCTTATTTCTGGCACACTTGTTGAACACACAGTTTTACATTTTCAAGTAAGACAGAAAAAGAAGCTTCATCTAGTTAAGATGACAGTAGTCTCGTATGACAATGGATTGTCAACATATGTGTCATGAAGACTATGAGAATCTTCTGTCATCTTCAGTTCTTAAGGCAACTTTTTATACCAGAAACTATGCAAAGTCAATTCAGTCCTTAAAATCTACTTATTTCACACACATTGTTATCAGTGTAGAGCAGTAGAAATATAGTGATAAACAAGAAAGATGGGTTCTTTGCTTTTTCCAGCTCTTGCAAATCATTGAGAGGAAGAAGAGCTAAACACATGAGTGAGCAGGATAATAGCTAGTGTTAAGTGTGATAACATAAAAGGCAATGTGATAGACAGTGAGGGAAACAGGGCTTCATCACATAGAGTGGTCAAAGAAGGACTTTTTGAGGTGACATTTAAGTGAAAGCCTAAAGGATGAGATAATTTAGTAATGTGAAGAACTTAGGAAACAGTTTTTCAGGCAGAGGGAATATCAAATAAAAAGGCCTTGAGACGAGAGTAGGACCCGCACATTTGAAGTTTAAAAAAGGGTTTGATGTTCCTGGCTTGAAGTGAAAGAGAAAAACAGTAATAAATATTGAAATTAGAGAGTAGGAAAGTAGCAAGATTACTCAAAAGAAAACTGATCACACTCATTGCCCTAGTATGGGATAGCCCAAGCTGATTCCTCCTCCCGAAAATGACTCTACCATCTGCCAAGTTGATCAACTCAAAATTTTGGACTCTCTATTGACTTAACCTTGACTCTTTACTTTCTTAATGGACTTACTCCAAAATTCTAATTAATCATCAAGTTATGTCTTCTCAACTGCCAAAATATGTCTCTCAAATCTAGCCACCTCTATTAATATCCACTGCTATCATCTTAGTTCTAGCCATCATGATCTCGTGCCTAAACTGTTACATTCACCTCCTTGCTGTGCTGCTTGCTTCTACTGTCACATCCACTCCAATCTATTCTGCAACTTGTGGTCAAAGGGATCACTCAAGATTCTTCTGTTCACGTAATTCCCTTGTTCAAAACCTTTACGTTAATTTTCACTCTTTGAGTAAAGTCTGTTATCATGTTATATATCTTCTCTCTCTCTCTCACACACACATGCACACACACACACACACACACACAGAGAGACTTTCTTAGTTTGATGCCTTTGGCATGTTATTAATGAGCATAATCAGCTATGACATGCATTTTGCCAGGTAACGAGTACCAATGCCACTAATTCCCTAATAGTTCTTCCCGGGATTTTGGTTCTATTCAAAGAATTATCATTTTACAAAGTACTCCTTAGTCACTAATTTTGTGCTATTAAAACAAGACTTATTTCTTTACTGCTCTTTTTAAAATCTGCCTTAATTAAATGTTGCTTTTCCCTGTTGACTAAAACAACTTTCTACCTCCTGGAAGGAAGGTTGAGAGATGGTCTATCACTGCTATGTGCTGATATACATCTGATCACTCTCTGCTTTGTTATTTTGAACTGAATAATTTCCAAACTTTTTACTTTTCCTTAAGACCACAGGAAACAAATCGTTAAAAGCACACAAAATTACTTATTTACGTCCTAAACATTAATTAACCATCCAACAAGCATGATATTAGGAAATGAAATGAGTTATGTAGGAAGGAAGGCTCACTCTTTGAAGATATCATGCTTCAAGGATGATTGAGGAAATCATAAACAGCAGGCAAAATTCACTTACAAGACCTAGGTCACTTACAGTAGGGGAGTCTGTTTCTGTGAAAGTCTGGCAATATGTTTTAAACACTCCTTTGGTGGCTCTTCAAGATTACTTCCATTTTCTTCAGAATCAGGTTTCACATACTCCCACCCAGTAGCTGGAAATTCAATCTGAAACAAAAAAAATGATTTGATATGTGTTGAAGGTATCTCAAAATACATTATTGACTTAATACTCTTGTCTTAGATTTATAGAAACTAAAGAACGGAACAACTTCTATTTTTTCTGTGCTATTTATAATTTTAAAATAATTTCTAAAATAATTATTAGAGGTTGGACTTAGGATCTAAATGTACAAGGTATGTAGCCAATTATTTATACAAATGGTATAGATGGGTCACCTGTAATGTTGTCTGAGGGAAAATAAGAGAAATAATAATATACAGTCTCTCAATAAAGATTAATATGTTACATTTTTGGTTAATGCTGATATTATATCCTTTTTACATTTCAGTGTTAAAATGTCTCCTTATGAAATGATGAAATTTAACATTGGTAATTATGCTTTTTTCAAGTAACCCACTTGAGAAAATAAAGTTAATCTATATTGATCTCTAGTTCATGAAATCTGCAAGTCTGGGAATCATTTTGTACACAAGAGTGAGCTCTTCTTTGATAAAGAACTGTTGTGTTAGTAAAAAGTGAAATAGAATATTTCTGCTTTGGTTCTGTAGTTCAGATTTATAGACAGTTCCAGAATTCGGCCTCCTTTTTTTCCTGGCTCAATCTACTTACCATTAAACCATGTTTCAGTGATTCAGAATCTGATTCTAGTAAATAAAATTACAGTTAACAAAAAGACAGTTCCAGGCTGTGTAAATAAGCTGGATATTTTAGGGCTCCATAGGTTTGCTTAAGGTTATCATACATACTGTTTGTTTGTTTTTTTTTCATTTTAATATTAGAAATCCCTCAGACATTATTTTTTTCTGCTGAATTATGTTGGGTTGGAATCTCAGAGAAAATTGAGGAACCTTACAAAGGAGATGGTATGAGTTTCAGTTTGAAATACAGTTTAATATATTTGAGCACTTATTTATTTGAAAAAGTTTTAGTAATTTCATTCTATAACCTCTAGCATTTGTTATAATTTTTGTATTTGATATAATCTGTGTTACAGTGTATCAATTACTCCAACATGATAAAAGAAACAAGTACGAGATCAGCTTAACTGAAACATTACAGCAAAGTTTGCTTCTTGACAAAGATTGATCTTGAAAGATGAACTTTGGTACCTTAGAGGGAAGGGCATCCAGTATGAGCAAGTTACATGCTACTCTTTATATGGACAAATATTTTTAAATAGCTCTTAATGAATTAGTACAATTTTATGTTGATACTAAGTAAATGGCATGGTGGATGAGAAAACTGAGAAGAGTAGACGAGTATACAAAATAACTCCTGTGTACAAACCCATAATAAATTATTTGTATATATTTCACTTAGGAAACAATTTTTATTTCTGATACGTGAGTGAGATCTTTTATCAAATTGCATTTTTTCATGAATTATGAGGCTAAATAGCTACTGATTCTTGTGTTGCTATAGAAAATATTGGAATTTTTCCTACTTGCCTTTTGTACTCTTTATAAGAGAAAACTTCCCCAAAGCTATGCTTTAATGCATTTGCTTTAGAACACTTTTAGGCACCACACATTATGGAAGATATAAGTAATATCTATTATTTTCTGATAACTTAAAGTCTAATTGAGGAGAAAAGGCACACACATTAATTAAAATAGAGAATAATAAATACATAGCACCCCAAAGCTGCGCTTCATTGTTGTGCTTTCAGTACTGACAAACATTCGACTCTGTTCTTTCTCCTTCTATGGCTGTGGCTGACCAAGCCTGGCCTTGTTCTCAAATTTCTTTTTAAAGGAATGCTCCAGGAGATGTACTCAAATGTCAGCATTGCATGCGTCATGACATCTATTTTTCACATTCCCGGCTAAGCCTTGAGGATACACTCCTGATTTTAACAACAACAACAACAACAACAACAACATGGGTTTTTTGGGGGGATAGAGGAAGATATTCAAACCTGGTAATGCTCCCTTCTAATTCACACCTCCTTACACATTTGGATATCAACTTCTTGTGTTCCAATGATTCATCTTGCTTCATTTCTTCTGCTCATCCTTTGTCATTCACACTAGGCCACCGTGATTTCTATTATGGCTTCATGACTTGGCACTGCTTAAGGGAGCTGTTGTGGATGTCCCCAGTGTCCATGCCCCACAACCATAGCCATAAGGTGCCCCTGAGCCAATTTTGGGCTCCCATGATTCTGTCAGATTATTCAAAGAACTTCCACTTTGACTGTGTGTGGTTTGGTATTATAAGACATATGTGCTGGGCGTGGTGTCTCATGCCTGTAATCCCAGGACTTTGGGAGACTGAGGCAGACAGATCACTTGAGGTCAGCAGTTCGAGACCAGCCTGGCCAACATGGTGAAACCCTGTGTCTATTAAAAATATAAAAATTAGCCACGTAAGGTGGCGTATGCCTGTAATTCCAGCTACTTGGGAGGCTGAGGCACGAGATAGAATTGCTTGAACCATGGAGCTGGAGGTTGCAGTGAGCTGAGATCACGTGCCACTGCACTCCAGCTGGGGTGATGGAGCGAGACACTGTCTCACAAAAAAGAAAAGAAAAGACATACGCATGTTAGACCCTGAGTTCTATTGCACTTCAGAGGAAGGAAGGATAACTGCTAACTGGGTGGCAATTGTGGTGAGTCTGAAAAAAGGAGTTGTAAAAGAGGGATCCATATGGTGGTTTTTGGAGTGAGAAAAAAAAGGATCTCTGTTACATTAGAAATCAGAATATAACGTGTTCTAAAATCTCTGTATCAATGATAAGACTGGTGCTTCTTCCTAACACTGACGATAATGGAAGATAAGCATGTACTAAAATGTTAGATAAAGTAAAACATTTTGAATGAGTGAGTAAGATCTGTGGTTTAAGGAGACGTCTCGCTTAGCTAAAAGGAAGAGCTAAACATTTTGGTATTCAGGTTCATGTAAGTGGACCAAAGGGCTAAATTGAGACATACCTGTGGGCGGTGTTTTTGTAGTCATCAGAAATATGGATACATATCATTAATTTAACAAATAAATTATTCCAACTACTGTGTTAGATGCTTGTGATATAATACCTTCAATGCCATCAGAGATCACTCAGTCAGTGGAAAGGAAAATGATGTGGTAAATGTGTTGATAAAAATGCTATTGGATATTACGTGAACATAGAAGAAGGGCACTTATCTCTGCTTGGCGTGAGAAGAGTGGAGGGGGTAAGGGAGAGATTTCTAGAGGGTCCATGGATGGAAAAAGATGAATCTCATTTACACAGAGTCAGAGGATGGGTGGACAGTGGAGGGTGAAGGGGAGAGGGCACATTATAGACAGGGAACAGTATTCATAAATTTACATAAGGTGAAAGCAGGACAGTGCATGTCAGAAATGACAACATTTTCAAAGTTGTTGAAGCTTGAAGTGTCAAACAGGGACTGGCAAGAGAAGCAATGGAAGAGGGGTCATGCTACAGAGGTTGGCCTTAATCCTCTGGGTAGCGCTGAGTTATTGAAGAGTCTAAGCAGGGAACTGGCAGGTTCAGACTTAAGTTTTAGAAGGATCACCCTTGTGACTCCATAAATTTTGGATTAGAGAATGACAAAACTAAAGCCAAGGAAACCAGCAGATGAGGTGAGGAATTGAGAGGATAGGCAATAAAAATATAGAAGATAAATTGGCAGGATGTAGTACGGACTGGATATGAGTAGAGAGAAAGAAGGAAGGAGGCAAGAAAAACAGGTAGGTGTGTAGGGGGCATGAACAGACATAAAGAATTCAGAAGGTGAAAGTAATTTTGGAGAGGAAGTGGGCTCCGTTTGGGGCATGTTTCATTTGAAGCTGCCAATAGAATATCCAGGTGGGAGTTTCAGCAAGTATGTGGCTATATTTGTCTGAAACTTGAGGTGTGAAGAAGTCTGAACTAGAGATACAGACTCAGAAGTACACTTACATAGATATTGAGACAAGAACTTTAGAAATGTAGGAGACCCAGTAATTCCATGGCTCAGTATGTATTCAAGAAAGATGAAAACATGTTCACACAAAAACGTGTCCATACGTGTTTATAACAGCAATATTCTTAATAGCTAAATAGTGGAAAGAATCCAAATGTACATTGACTGATAAATTAATAAATAAAAGATGGTATATTCATATGTACATATTACAATAATGTAATATTATTGTATAAAAATGTATATGTAATATAGAAAAAGGAATGAATCCCAATCGGGGCTACCACCTGGATGCCCTTTAAAATATTATATGTAACAAACCTGCACGTTATGCACATGTACCCTAGAACTTAAAGTATAATAATAATAATAAAAAAAATGCTAAGTGACAGAAGCTGGCCACAAATAAGATCACAGATTGTATGATTCCACATACATGAAATGCCCCAAATAGTCAAATTGATAGAGACAGAAAGAAGATTAGTGGTTGCTTAGGATTGGGGGAATAGGAGGTGAGGGCTAAGGGGTATGGAATTTCTTTTTTGATATGATGAAAATGATCTGAAATTGACTGCGGTAATAGTTGCAGGTATCTGTGAAAATACTAAAAACTACTGAATTGCACACTTTAAATGGGAGGATAGTATGGTATGTGAATTATATCTCAAGAAAGCTTTTTTTAAAAAATTTTTTTTAAGAAAATAAATGAATGAGAGCATCCAGGGAGAATATGTGCACTGTGCAGGGCAGCGGGCTGCAGATTGAACCTTTGAGAATTGTCCTTGGTGAGAGCCTGGGAAGGAGACAAAGGATGACCAGAGAGCAGTGGAAGGAGATAACCGAGGGCAGTAACACCAAAGCCAGAGGAGGAGGGGGTTCAGTTCTGTGGAAGGAGGAGGCAGAAAGTTCAAACTCTGAAGAAGAGGAGGGAGTTCAGTTACGGGGAATAGACAGACAGTGCCAAGAAGAGCAGAGGGAGCGCTAGCCTGATGAGGACTGAAAACCACCACTGGATTTGGCACCTAGGAATCAGCAGGTACCTAACCACAGTTAAGAGTGGTGGCAAGCCAGAATACAGTGATTTTAGATACAAATGGGGAGGTGAGGAAGTAGAGAAACATAGATCCCGGCACTTTGAGAGGCCAAGATGAGGTGGATTAACTGAGGTCAGGAGTTCAAAACCAACCTGGCCAACATGGTGAAATACCGTCTCTACTAAGTTACAAAAATTAGCTGGGCATGGTGGCGTGCACCTGTAATCCCAGCTACTCGGGAGGCTGAGGCAGGAGAATTGTTTGAGCCCAGGAGGAGGAGGTTGCAGTGAGCCGAGTTCATGCCATTGCACTCCAGCCTGAGTGACAGAGTGAGACTTTGTTTCCAAAAAATAATAATAATAAAGAAACATAGACTAGAACAAGAACTGCATGAATTCGTATGAAACAGCTCTGCATTTAGTGCTTGAATATGTGACAGAGCTGTTCCACTACATTGCATTCAGGGAGAGGCAGGAAGTTGAGGGAGATCCAGGCTAAGTGAGTCAAGCAATAACTTATGTATCATCTGCCTCCATTTCTGAACTAAAATCTATTTTACTCTGTCCACTGCTTCTGGTTGGTACCTCAATCAACCATAGGACCTGAAAAAAGTATTGACTGAAAGCGATCACATCTGTGTCATATCACATCCCTTTTCATACCAGAGTGGCTGCAGCATGGCGGTAACCACTGTCTAATCAGGACAATCAGAAAAGTGAAGTCAGGTAGGCTTGGTATAATCTTTTCATTATGCAGAGGATAAAATAGGTTAGGTGACTTATTCAAGGTCATAAAGTTTTCTGTAAAAGAAAGACTGGAATCCAGATTTTCTAACTCTCGCCAAATGTCTTTCCCTGAGACTCATACTAACTCCTTAACGAAATACTGGATGCAGAACTTGGTTGTAATTTCATCATCTCATAATCCTTAGGTTGAAAGATTGTGCTCTAAATTTAGCTGACTATTCAATTAAACTGATAGTCTTAAAGGTTTTGTCTTTACTACCTTAATAACTCTTATTTTATATATTGCATCACCAATTAAAATCATGCTGAGAGGCTTTTAATGTATCTACACAATTTGAAATTATTTTGTAAAAATGGGATGGTTTAACTTTTGCATACTGTGGAATGATTTACATGCCCCTCTTCCACTTATTTTTAAGATGAATTATGTTATGGATCCAGATCTTTACCTGGAAATCTGTGCCACTACTGAATATTTGAAGTTTTCCTTCAGATTCCACTTGCCAAAATCTGTGTTCATAAAGGAACTATTCACCTCATCCTGAGAAGTATCAAGGATAGTCTCATCTGACAGATTTTCTTTTCCTTCTTCTACCACCATCACTCTTCTCAGCCCCATAGAACCTTAAAATCATGAATTTATATCCACAAAACTCTGACAATGGTCATACTTGAAAATTTTCATTAAGCTGAGGTGGTTTGGACCTGTCAAGAAATAGTTTGATAGAAAATACATTTGTCCTCCTAAAGAAAGATCACTTATATCTACACTTAGGCTCCCCATAGGTCTATATAAAATGCAAGGTATCTCAAACTGAGTTCATCTTATTACCCTGTTGAAGACTGTCTATCCTTTCTCTGTGTTCATTCTTAAAACTGAAGATATTACTATGAACTCAGGAACTCAATTTTCTGTCTGTGTTTCCCTATATATTTCCTTCATACAGTTGCACCCCTTTCTGTTTAAAAAAAGTTTCTAAAATCTACCATTTAAATGTTTTTTTTTCCTTAGTTTTTGGCCCTATGATCCTTAACTTAGATCATTAAAATATTCTTCTAATATTTTAGTCCGGGCTGGGTGCAGTGGCTCATGTCTGTAATCCCAACAGTTTGGCATGCTGAGGCAGGAGGATTGCCTGAGGTCAGGAGTTCAAGACCAGCATGAGCAACATAGTGAGACTCCCATCTCTACAAAAATAAATAAATAAGAAAAAAATAACAGGGCGTGGTGGCATGCACTTGTGGTTCCAGCTACTTGAAAGGCTAAGATGACAGAATAATTGGAACCCAGGAGGTGGAGGCTGCAGTGAGCTATGGTTATTCCACTGCACTCCAGCCTGGGTGACAGAGTGAGCCCCTGTGTCAACAAAACACAGCAAAACAAAAACAACAACAACAATAACAGTCTCAAAAAAAAAAAAAAAAAACAAAAAAAAAAAAAAAAAACCAATAACATACACACAAAAACGCAAAGCAAAACAAAAGCAAGTGTTCACATATCCAATCTTCTTGTTTTTTAAGGCATTTTCCACAACATTGCTAGAACTACTTTTTATGACTTACTGCCGAGATAATCATGTCCAAACTTGGTACACAATCTAGTATGTGTAGTCTTCTCTACCTATGGTAGAGAAGGTTTTTCACTTTTTTTTTTACCACTGTTTTCCACTTTTTTACCACTGTTCCTCACATAATTTATTCTTTAATCTTAACTAACTTGCCATATTTTGAAACTGCCAACTCTTTTCTGAATCTGTGTGTTTGCATTGTGCTTTCCTTTATGACTGGATAATCCTTCCCACTGAAAGTCGTTAGTGAGAATTTACTCATTCTATAAAGGGCATTCAAATGTCATGTCCTCTGGGTGTCTGTCTGTCCCCAGACTTTTTACATTTCTTTACTTTCCCTCAGAAATATTCATTGCTATTCTCGCTGCCTTAGTGTCCCTACAATGGCTATCCTATCTGTCACATTACATCAGTGTGAGTTGTGAAAGTCGGTCTCTCCAGCTGGATTTCGCATTCCTTGAATTCCTGGCTTAGTATTACGTATTCGCTCCTTTTTGTAAGAGTGTTTATCATAATATTTGGACCATAGCAGTCATATATGAAACATGAATCAAATGTGATTGAATTGAACCTCTAGCATTTTGCTATTTTTCTCTATTAGTAGAATATGTTTACCGGGTTTGTGATGAGTCTCTCCTCTTTATTCATAGATATACTTATCTTTTTGTTCTTTTAAAACAGAACAAGTGCTAATTGATAAGATATCATGTGTGGAGTGTGTATGATGTTGTGCCAAGACCTAATCTGAATAAGCATTCTTTTTTAACACGTCCACAGATTAGAAGTGGATCTTTAGGTGTCATCTGGTCGAATCTTCCTCCGCAAGAATGTGATGCCATATTTTTATTAGTATTAATTTTTCCTTTCCATGTTAAATATTTTTCTGCGCATCTTTCTCCACTCTATGTCCCAAACCCCTCACCACAAGCCTGGAAACTTAAGAGCCGGGAGACTCTACTAACTTCTTCTAGAGCAGTGATGTCAGCTGAGGAAATCCTTTTCTCAAAGCACATTTGACAATATCTGGAGACACTCTTTGATTGCCAGAACTGAGAAAGTCCCTCAGGCATCCAGTGGAAAGAAGCTAGGGATGATGCTAAACATCCTGAAATACACAGAACAGCCCCCACAACAAAGAATTTTCTTGTCCAAAATGTCAATACTGGTAAGGCTGAAAATCTCTGTTCTAGAGGATGCTGCCCAGAGAATATTTTCTAATTTTTCCTATACAGATGAAAAGTTCATATTCCATGCATTTCTCTATATGAGACTGTGCATGCCTCACATTTCCAACCAATCTGATGAACTACAATCAGGAACCCATAAGGAGCTGTCAGCACTAAGGACGAAAGCCTGAAGTAATTTACCACCTTTCTTTTATGATCACAAATCACACAGAGTAGAGAGACTTTAAGAAAAAAAAAGGATAATTAGTTTGCAGGTTTTGTCCTGCTACTCAGTTAATTGCTAGTCATTTTAGAAACATATAACAGAAGAGATTTTAAAGAAATATGACACAAAGCAGAGGCAGGTGTGAGTAGGATACCAAGTTAATAATACATACCAATGACTGTTTTTAGACAATAGAAAGAAAATGAATGCCCATAGTGAGTATACTAATGGCAACACTCCATAGTTCTCCAACATGACCTTGTTGGATGAAGCATGGTTTGAAACTGCCATTATACAAGCTGGGAGAAAAGTGCTTTGAGAGTACTGTACATAAAATAAAAGCAGTAGAGGTTTCACAAATCCCAGAAGACTGGAGGTAGAGAAGACTATTAAAATGTGTGCTCCTGGAAGAAATTGTTTCTATAATTGACAGCAAACTACTTATCAACCAATACTTGCCATGTGTACTTTAATCTTGTAGCCCGGCACTTACCTGCAGGGTCACTGGGGATGGCTGACTTACATCCCACACTCCTGGTGCTATCATTTCTACGGGAGGCTCACTCTGTAATGTCATGCTGAATAGCATAGACCCGAGGATGGATTTTCTGCAAAAGACAACACATACAGACAGACAGGAGTCACTTCATGAGGGAAGTTATAATTATCTGTAAATGTTTTCTTTTGGAATATAAACATAATCCGCTCTTAGAGGGGCTTTATTTGGTTGCTAGAAAAGAAATGAGATAGTCCACCAGCCCAGACACTGATTAACAGTTCATTTCGAATATACCACATGCTTGGCTATTTTCATAAATGCCTACATTTATTTTCCACATGAGAAAATTATTTACCCACAGTGGTTTCTAATGGGTAGCATTTATTTTTAATTGCCATCAATGGTGGTTATAAGGTGGGACTAAGAATTTCAGATTTATATTATTGGAGTTACAACTGCCTTAAATCAATACAGATGTCAACTCTTCAGAACATATTTTGCTCCATGGAGTGACTAAATCTCCTGGGAATCTTTAAAGATATACATTCTAAATTTATAGAAAAAAAGATTTAAATTAGCACAGCATATGCTCTGCAGAATAAAAATAGTTGCAGGGCTTCACGGAGGAAACGCTTCCTTATGCATAAATAGAAAGATTATTCATATTCTAAATGTTTAAAAATCAGTGGTAAATTACCATAGTAAATGAGAGTGCATACAGGGAAGGCTTTAAACAGGGAAGAGTTCGTGGTTGGTTTTAACAGCTTCAGTAACATCCAAATCCACAGATCCTTATGTGAATTAAAAAAGAAGTTGTACCTGGCTGGGTATATGAATCAGAATATCAGTAAAATGTTCCAATGATCATGGAAAACAGTCTTGGATTTTAATATGCCAAATTGAAAGTGCAAAACTGAAAGTCAACAAAATTAAATTTAAGTTTATAAAGAACTTTAATGCCTGAAGTGAGCTTTTCTAAAAGCAATATACAATTCCATCTTGCCGTTTAACAGATCTTATGCAAAACATGAGGAAGAAATTCAACAAATAAAGCTTTCTTTAGACCTTTAGCTTTCTGAAGACTGCTTCTTTTATTATTTTCTCTATTTAAAGATATTGTCAGCACATATCTGCCTAGAGGAGTATAATGTGCTTTATTAAAATGTGGGCAGATGTTTTATATGACTTAAGAATATTCTTCTAGCAGGATGAATTTTGAGTCTTCTTTGTTTCTTTGTTCCATCCCTCCCTTACCTGAAGAAAATCTGTCTTGGTATAACAGTATCGGGGGTCCAGTATTAGTAAGCTATGGATTAGTTTAATAGAGGTAAAGATTAAAAAATTATTATTGTAGTTTTCACCTTTGCCTTTCAGAGCATATGACCTTCACTCCAAATGGCCAAATCCCCAAATGCCTGGGAAAAGTTTTGCATTAGTGTTACGCAAAATGCAAGAGGAAGAAGCTTATCCAACACGAAACTTGGAGGTCATATTGTTCTCCACAGCATTTACAGAAAATGTTTCTGTGCATGGGGAAGAGTCAACAGAGGTGAGGAAGGAGGATGTGCCATATTGGATAGGAGAACATGACAAAAGAAAAGCCCATCACTTCCTGGGAGTTTGGGAGGATGAGAAGTAGAAGGCAGAGAAAGGAGTCGAGTAAGCATGGCGGACACAGGTGTCCCAGTTTGCCTCTCCTCTGCTTTGGCAAGCAGGTGGGGAGAAGTGTGAGATCAGTGAGCAAAACATAATGCTGAAGGCAGAGGAGCTCCTCTTCTCACTCCCTGTTTCAGATCCTGGAAAGCAATCACCTCTTGAGTGGTTCTGCACTGCTTGTGGCATGGCCATTAAACTTGGTGTCCGTGATTAACAAGCAGGAGGAACTTGTGAGTTTAGCTTTTCTGGGCCTTCTTTGCTTTCTGTGTAGTTGAGGTGGGATCTGGAAATATCTAAAGATTTTCAAGAGGGAGAGTTTCCAGAGTTTCCCTGGTGGGAATAAGGGCTTCTGTAATAAGGGCATCTGATAGGACCATCCAACCTGGGGCCAACTGCGAGTCGTTGGCAAACCTCAGGAGGGTCTATGGTGCCTGTGAGAGCCTGAGTCACCCAGGGCTTTCCAGGAAACCTTGGCCAAGCTGGGGGAGCCCCAGTCATGAGCTGGAGACTTCAGCTGTAACAAGCATCCATCAGCTTAAAAAGGGGCTTTCATTTGGATATCGGAAGTCACCAGGGCAAAGGATCTGTTTTTATGTTTTTTGTTTTCTCCTTTTCTTATATATCCTTTCCCCCTCTTAGGAAGAGAGCCAGGGTATAAGAAATTTATCTGAGTGACCCAGCATTTTTATCCAAAAGAGACTGCATATTTCTAAAAGGACTAGTTAAAGTTACTGAACTAATACTTTATCATAGATGAAACTTTATTTCTTCTCATTAGTTACAGGGTGGGAGCTCATGAGGAAGAGTGTGATACATGAGTTGCATTATTTATTCATACCTAAGTTGTGGAATGTGTTATATTTGCATCCTTACTATATTTTTATGTCTTGGCTATGCTATACTCCAAAAATCTGAGTGATCTAAGCTGGTCTGGACAGAGGATGAGGGTTCTCAAGAATCTGATGGTAATTACTGTCCCTGGATGGAGTCTTGGATGTATTAACAGTCACCATGGCTTTAACCCTGAGGCACATGTGGCAGAGTGAAGTCAGAACATTTGACATAGGTGCGTGTATGGGTCAATGTATCAACAAATGCATGTCTGTTATCCCAGCTACTTGGGAGGCTGAGGCAGGAGAATTGCTTGAACCCGGGAGGCAGATGTTGCAGTGAGCCGAGATCATGCCATTGCAGTCCAGCCTTGGCAACGAGAGTGAAATTCCATCTCAAAAAGGCTAATACAATATTCATCTTAAAGCCATATATATATATATGTGTGTGTGTGTATATATATATATATAAATATTTATAACTTGAAGTCATATATATATAAATATATAATATTTAACTTAAAGTCATTCAGGGGGAAAAGGAAATAAATGTTTGGCGCTATTTTGGAGGTTCTTCACGTGTTTAATATTAGTTAATTTACTTTTTGATAACAAAATTTGCCTAAAAATCTTTTTAGATATTAGTTAATTAGTTAATTTACTTTTTGACAATAAAGTTTGCCTAAAAATATTTTTGTATATTGCAGGCATAATGGAGGGAATACATTTCCATGGACTTCTTTAAATAGAGAATATAAGGAAGATGAGGAAAATGAGATGTGAAATTGAAATGTGAAAAGATACATCTAAGTGTGTTGTTAGTTTTCAGAAAGAAGATGAAAATGAAAACTTTTATGACCGGGCAAATGGGGACCACTGGCCATTTTTTGAAGTATTCTCCTATGAAAACATTTATTATGTTAGTTAAATTAAACATTTCAAAGGCAGGAGACACAAAAAGAGAGTTTCATATAATGGAAAGAACACCAGACTGTGTCAGGACATCTGGAGCCTGTCTTTATTACCTTCCCTTTATTACCTTTTTTGAGCTTTTTGGACAAAATCAATGGTCTTCAGAGTTTACATAGAGCTTTGAGGTTCTGCTGGTAGTTGAGGGTGAACTTCAGAAAGATGGGAAGATATCAGTTAGACTGGGCTATAGGTTTGTAAATTCTTCTAAAAAACACATCCATGGAATCACTCTTATACTTTGAGATTTTTTAATATGATGCCATTAGAAGAAGGACTACACTGCTAAACAGAGTATTTCAAAATATTTGTTCTGAAGTATCCTTAAGAATATTTTCAATTTAAATATATCATAGAAATTCATTGACTAGAAAAGCCAACACAAAATTTGTGACACCAGGAGAACAGATGGGCTGGTTTACCCTCTTTGGGCCCCATTTCCTCAAACAGTAAGGTAAGGTGTTTAAATAAAACAATTATCAATTTTAGCCGTACTATTCTATGTGCCCATTGCTGGCATCCTGGAGCCAAAGAATCTGTAGCTGGCAGGACCAAAAGACCTGATGTTATAAAATTCTTTGGGCAGCTGACTTTATTATGTCTAATAGGTTTCATATGCAAGAGTAGAGCCCAGGTAAGACTGAGCTGGAACTCTGTTGTGTTAGGCTCTTCTTGTGTCACTAAAAAGAAATTCCTGAGATTGAATAATTTAAAAAGAAAAGCCTGATTCTGCAGGCTTTACAGGAAGCAAGGTGCTAGCATCTGCTCAGCTTTTGGGGAGGCCTTAGGAAGCTCCCAATCATGGTGGAAGGCGAAGAGTGAGCAGGTGTCTCACATGGTGAGAGCAGGAGCAAGCTTTGAAGATGTGCCACACACTGCCAAACAGCCACATCTCGCAAGTACCCACTCACTCTCTCAAGGACAGCCACAAGCCATGAAGGACCCATCTCCATTGTCCAAACATCTCTCACCATGTCCTACCTCCAACACTGGAAACTACAATTCAACACAAGATCTGGAGGAAACAACATCCAAACTATATTATTCTGCCCCTGGTTCCTCAAATCTCACGTCTTTCTCGTATTCCAAAGTAAAATCATGCCTTCTCAATAGTCACCCAAAGTCTTAACTCATTTTAGCATTAACTAAAATGTCTGAAGTCCAAGTCCAAAGTCTCATCTGGAAATCAGTTCTTTCCACTTATGAGTCCACAAAATCGAAACAAGTTACTTCCAAGATAAAATGGGGGTACAGAAATTGGGTAAACATTCTCATTCCAAAAGGGAGAAATTGGCCAAAAGAAAGGAGTTACAGGTCCCATGGAAGTCTGAAACCCAGCAGGGCAGTCATCAAATCTTAATGCTCCAAAATAACCCTTGACTCCATATCCTGCATCCCAAGCACATTGATACAATGGTGGGCTCCCAAGACCTTGGTCAGCTCTGCCCCTGTGGCTTTTCTATGCTGGGTTTGTAAGCTGCTGATGGCTCTACCATTTCAGAGTCTGGAGAACAGTGGCCTACTTCCCACATCTCCACTATGCAGTGCCCCAGTAAGGACTCTGTGAGGAATCCAACCCCATATTTCTCCTCTGTACTTTTTTATTAGAGGTTCTCTGTGAGGGATCTGCCCCTGTAGCAGGCTTTTGCCTGGGTACCCAGGCTTTCCAATATATTCTCTGAAATCTAGCGGGAGGTTGCCAAGCTTCCTTCACTCTTGTACTCTGTGTGCTTGCAGTCTTAACATGTTGTGGAAGCTGCCAAGGATTATAGCTTGCACCTTACAAAGTGGTGGCCCAAGCGGTACCTGGGCCCCTTTGATTTGAGGCTGGAGCCAGAGCAACCTGGGTGTGGGGAGCAGTGTTCTGATGCTGCACAGGGCAGCAAGGTCCTGCGCCTAGTCCCAGAAACCATTCTTTCCTCCTAGGCCTCAGGTCTTGTGATGGGAGGTACTGCCTGGAATATCTCTGAAATGCCTTCAAGACATTTTTCACATTTTCTTGGCTATTATCACCTGGCTCTTTTTCAGTCACACAAATATGTCTAACAAGTGGTTGCTCCAAGTCCATTTCAACTTCTCTCCTGATAATGCTTTTTCTTTCTCTGCCACATGGTCAAGCAGCAAATTTTCCAAACTTTTACACTCTACTTCCCTTTTAAGTACAAATTCCAATTTTAAGTCATTTCTTCATTCCTGAATCTGAGATGAGGCTGTTAGAAGCAGCCAGGCCACCTCTTGGATGGTTTACTGCTTAGAAATTTATCTTGTCAGATACCCTAAATCATCATTCTTAAGTTCAAACTTCCACAGATTCTTAGGGCATGAACACAATGCAACCAAATTCTTTGCTAAGGCATAACAAGAGTGACCTTTGCTTCAGCTCCCAATAAGTTCCTTATTGCCATCTGAGACCTTGTCAGCCTTTACAGAGTCTATATCACTATCAGCATTTTGGCCACAAGTATTTAACTAGTCTCTCAGAAATCCCAAATTTTCTCTCATTGTCATGTCTTCTGAGTACTCCAAACTCTTTCAACCTCTGCCTGTTACCCAGTTCTAATACCACAGCCACAAATATCTTTATAGCAATACCCTACTCGGGTACCAATTTTCTGGGTTAGGCCATTCTTGCATTGCTGTAAGGAAACGCCTGAGACTGGGCAATTTAAAAGAAAAGAGGTTTAATTGGCTCACAGTTCTCTAGGCTTTACAGGAAGCATGGTGCTGGCATCTGCTGGGCTTCTGGGGAGGCCTCCAGAAGCTTATAATCATGGCAGAGGGCAAAGGAGGAGCAGGTGTCTCACATGGTGAGAGCAGATGGGAGGAGGTGCCGCATACTTCCAAACAATGAGACCTTGTGACTACCTAGTCAATATCTCGAGGACAGGACCAAGTCATGAGATCTGCTCCTATGACCAAAACACCTACCACCAGGACCCACCTCCAACACTGAGGACCATAATTCAATATGAGATTTAGAGGGGACAATATCTAAATTATATCCCTCTTGTAGGGTAGTGAAGTGTTTACAGAGTGTTCATGGAGTTAGGCATGGCACCTAAGAGCAGGGAGGGAGGTGGCTTAAAGTAGTTAAAGCTCAGACCTGCATTCTAGTTCTTGTTCTATTCTAAGTAGTCTGGTGACCAACTGCTGGTTTTTAAATCTTCTTTCATCATAGAGTTCTTCATCTGTAAATGACATATTTGGACTAACTGAGGGTTTCCTGGATAGGAGAGAAAAACAATAAGAAATTCTCATCCACAGTTTTTGTTGTTGTTGTTGTTGTTATGATTTTGAAGATATAACTGAAACGATTTGATACAGTGGAGTCAGGGTTGGCTACTCAGGAAATTTTCTAAGGAATCTAATTGTTTTGAGATTAAGATTTATTTTAGACCTTTTTTGAACTTACGAAAAACATTCTAATTTTTCAAGGTTTTAGACTCACCTTGGGAGCTTTGAAAATACTGGTGCTCAGGCCAGGCACAGACCAATTAAATTAGAATCTTTGGGCATGCTTGGGCTTTGGGTTTATTTTTAAATCTCCTCAGAAAATTCTATTGTTTAATCGGGTTGAGAATCTCTGCTGAAGTAGCTTACCACAGTTTAAAAATGCTAAGTAACTATGATACTATTAATTTTGAACTTGAATAGGGGAGGAAGCTCATGGAAGTTGCTGAGGTGAGGATAACACTTTCTCACTACATTGTGGCGACATTACAAATGTAGATGCAGTGGAAGCCTTTTCTGCAAAACACAGGATTATAAAACTCCTGTGGGCCAAATTTGCCTTTGGATTTGAGACTTTTAAAAATAGAATTGAAGACAAGTTTGCATGCTTGAAACTGTAGAGGTTTATTTTTATTTTCAGACTTTGTTGATGCAGCCCTAACTGATTTATCTGAGTTTAATCACCATTGGTTTTTCTGAAACCCACTTCTGGAAACCACAAAGAGATAGGAAACCTTTAATTCTGCGTATTTTCAGTTGATATATGTGTTGGAAAAAATAATGATGTAAGCACTCATTATAGTTCCACATAGCTAGCTATGGGCAATTTGAACTATAATAAAAGACAGATCCAATACCAAATGTTTATGAGCAGGGATTACTCCATCAAAGGAAATGAAATTAAGTCACCAATTTGCTGTGATCTGGAAATATCTGCATCAAATAAATTGGGTTAGAATCTTTGTAACTTGAAGCAATGAGCAAAGTGGAGTCTTTGCAGTCTCCCAATTGCCCCATGTGACGTATTTCTGGTTTCTTAAAAATATCTGTATTTCCTTAAATTGTCTACCACAGGAGAAAAGCAGATTTTCTGATTTTCAGGAGAAACAGGGCATTTTTGAAAAATATTTAGAAATCCTTATTGAGTAATTGTTGAAGTGAGTTGTGTTTTTTGATGTCTCATTATCTACAATTTTGACATATCCCCTTAAAACAAATGCCACCTAGGATCAGTCCCAGATGCCATCTCTCACAAATGCTCATCTTCTATGACCACTCGCCTATAACATGCTTACCAATGGTAAGTGACATATGACAAAACAACATGGAGGTGGTATTTTTACTATCATAACCATCTGGAAAAATGTCTTGATGATTAGTTTTAAAGGCAAAAATATTCCTAAATTCTTGTATGTTTAGTGTTTATTGATTGCTACGTGTAAGTAGTGTGTTACATGTTGTGAGAGTAAAATGGACTTAAGCTTTTTTTTTTTCAGTGACTAGCTAGAAATATTCTACAAAAAATGGTAGATCTTACAAATACTGCAGGTGAAACTTTAAGGAAACTCACTCAAGAGAAGGAAGGACACTTGTATAGCTGTTCCTAGTGAGAAAGAAAATAAAGTTCTTAGCATACAAATCATATCTTTGAGATGTCTGCTAACAGCAGTAGGTACTGCTTTTAGGGATAAACTGTGTCTTATAGACCTTGAAATCTTATTTCATTCTTTATCTCCTCTATAGGGACTGTTTTTTCCCTCAATTCAATTTAGTAAACAAACCTGTACTGATTGCCTATTTATATGAGGTGCTACGTTAGATGATAGATATGACAAAGATAAATACATTCCCTGTCCCCAAGGAACAATGGTATAGAAATGGGCTAAAGCATGAAAACAAATAACAGAGCAACACATACACACACACACACACACACACACACACACACACACAGAGCTTACATCAGAATTAATCCAACAAAGAAGATTTGAAACATCTATTATGGTTGCTGATCATAATTTTTTATATTGATTAGGTCTGGGAAATAAAAATTAATAACTTTAAAAAAATTTGTATCACCATATCTTTCTAGAACAGCAGAGGGAAAAACATACGTTATAAAAATATTAACATTACAATATATATGCTGATTTTTTTAAAGTCCCGAATTTTATCATTTGATTCTGAAGCAAGACTAGCCATGTGAAAAATGGTTGATTTTTAAAAAATATTTTTCCTTAATACCATAAAACATCATGTAATTGATTTTATCAAGTATTCTGAATATTAATATTTTCCAAGATTTATGGTTAAATCAATGCTTCATTTTGCAATGATCGTTAGTTCTGAGAGAATATCTGAACTTATAATTGACCTAGTTTTCTGAAAAATATCACCTTAAAGTTACTAAATATTTCTTCTTGACAAGAAAAGGTCAGTAAGCCAGTTACCTTGTATAATTTTACTTTAGCCAGAATTCCATGACTTACATTCTTTCTAAATGATAGTATTAATCCAAATCATTTTGAATTACTAATTCCAAAGAAATCAGTTGGTCAGAAAAGAAAAAGTAATTGAGACTGGTCATGCCAATACCTTTTCATTATAAATGACCCCGCTGACAAGTTCAGCATGAGTCCTGTTTTGAAAGCCATTTCTACAATTTTACTTTTCAGTTCTGCTTTCAGCAGTCATGATTTATATTGAACTATGTCCATTTTAGAATAAAATGTCTTGATTTCCTCATTATGCCACATACTCCAAAATATTTACTTCTAAGAATGTTTTATTGAAATGATAGGCTTATTACTCACAATTGATACACTTACTCTTTTGGAAACAGTGGAAGACAAGTCCATGCCAGTAAATTTGCATTGTTGGTTGCACAGGCAATCCCAAACAGTTTTACAGTGAGCATGGATTCCCTTGGAAGTGACTTTATTTCGAGGGGAAAATTGATCCTAAGAACAAAAGAAAGAAGTAGCATTACCTACCCAATTGCACTGATATTTTAATGAAAATGTTCTTATAATGTACTGGTCTGGGACAAAGATATTTAACTATTTGAATTGAGGCTGCCTCTTGAAATTTTTTGTTTAATCTTATCAAAATGAAAATTCAACAGAAATATGTAGAATAGTGAGCTTTTGTTAACTGATGAAACTTATTCCTGATCATGTTGACATGTAGGTATATTTTTAAAAGTTACAATAACTTGAACATTTATTCTTAATCTGTTGCAAGCACAGATGAAAAACAGACTTAGAAAGACACTGTGTTAGGGAGTTGGAGGAGGCAGGAAATAACTCAAAATGATTCTGAAAGATTAAGTTAGCTATAATGAGGTGGAGATTTGGAAAAGAATATTCCAGAAAGAGGAAAAAGCACAGACAAGGGCATATATGGATGAACGACTAGGTGTGTCTGATAAATGGTGAACGGTTCATTGTGGCTAGAACAAAAGATGAAGTCAAGTTGATAGGGGAAATTATGGAGGATGTAATTAGAAAGACAAGTGGTTGCCAGAATGCTTAAGAGCTCTACATGCCAGGCAAAAGAATTTGAACTTTTCCCTAAAGTCAAAAAGAAATATTTGAAAGAGCCAAAGTGTAGAGAGTTTTTTGCCATTTTAAATGTGGACCATTCTGGATCATGATGAGGTCCTAGGAATTTGTGGGATGGTCACTGAAATGTAACACATATACAATCTCTGGATATGATAAGGTCAAGACTCTCTGAACTCAGATATTGGATGGATTATAGATATTAGCAAATAAAATTGGCTAAGGATAGACACAGGGTTTTTGATGGTGAGAAAAACTCGAGTTTGGGTTGAAGGCATCAATATACATAAGGAAGTGTCCAGAAGGTCATAAATATTACTATAAGACTGGGTGGGGTATACATAGGTGGCATGATTGTTTGAGAAGGGGCTTTTGACAGAAAGTTTATATTGTGATTTGACATCCCTAATAGGGGCAGGGAGACATGTACCTTTCATTCTTTTCTGGAGTCATCTGAATTGTATAGAATTATATGATCAGGAGATGAAAGAAATTTTTTTCTTTCAATTTTCTCTGGAGATCAAGAGATGAAAGAAATGTTTTTTTCCTAGGAGCTGAGATGGGGAGATATGTTTACTAGTAGGTGAGAATGCTAAAGAGGAATGAGAAAATTGGAATAAAGTTTGGCAGACAGGGCCAGAGTCATGGGAGATAAATCATTGATGAATGGGAAGGATAAAGAGGAAAGAGACTTGAAGAGTGACTGAGCAGCTTTATGGGATGATACCTGATGGCCATGAGGTGTGAGGGAAATACACAGAATCTACTGGCCTTGTCATTCCTGGTTGAACTTTGATGTTAAATTGTTTGAGCAGTAGGTGATTATTAGAGTCCCAATGATGACCAAAGCCTGTTGTCCAACTGAAAGGTGCTGACTGAGGTTCACCCAGCTGAAGCTTCAGGTAATATTAAGCATCTTCTCACACTAGGAATTGGCTTTTTAATCTGGAGACTAGGGAGCAGTTTTTACCCTGGGTTTCAAATCAAACATTAGTGACTCTTTTTTTTCAGTGCCGGTACAGCATCCAACCTTGGGGATAAGGAGAAGTTAAGTTAAGTCAATGACCATAATTGAATTTGAGGAAGTACATCTCTCTCTCCTTCTCATGGTGTCCACTGAGATAATCAAATCCAGATCCAGCATGGTCATAGAGCAGTGAGCAGGATGAAAGACAGAAGAGCTATTTTAGAAGTAAAAAGCATAACTAATGTCTGACTGTTGGCATACCAGTGAAATAAGACAATAAAGAATTAAAGATGAATTCTAGTTTCTAGATTACAACAGATATTTTGGTTTTTTTTATTTTTATATTTTTATTTCCAGAATTTCTTTTTTTAGCTTTTATTTTAGATTGAGGGTACCTGTGAAGGTTTGTTATATAGGTAAACACATGCCATGGTGTTTGTTGTACATATTATTTCATCATCCAAGCATTAAACCCAGTATTCAATAGTTATCTTTTCTGCTCCTCTCCCTCTCCCCACCATCCCCCCTCAAGTAGATCCCAGTGTCTGTTCTTTCCTTCTGTGTGTTCATAAGTTTTTTTTTATTGTTATTATACTTTAAGTTCTAGGGTACATGTGCACAATGTGCAGGTTTGTTACATATGTATACACGTGCCATGTTGGTGTGCTGCACCCATTAACTCATCATTTACTTTAGGTATATCCCCTAACGCTATCCCTCCCCCTGCCCCCCACCCCATGACAGGCCCCAGTGTGTGATGTTCCCCACCCTGTGTCCAGGTGTTCTCATTGTTCAGTTTCCACCTATGAGTGAGAACAGGCAGTGTTTGGTTTTTTGTCCTTGTGATAGTTTGCTCAGAATGATGGTTTCCAGCTTCATCCATGTCCCTATAAAGGACATGAACTCATCCTTTTTAATGGCTGCATAGTATTCCATGGTGTATATGTGCCACATTTTCTTTTTTTTTTTTCCGCAATAGAAAATGCATTTTTATTCCATATTTTAAAAATATAGACTCTCTAGCAACTTACAAATTTCTATTAAAATAATAAATTGATACTTTGAGCCAAGAAAACGATATAACCAAAAATTCATTTGTACCCTTTTTTAGGGGTGTTTTACATTTATGCATAATTTTGCTTTTATAAAAGATGATTGTTACAATCAGGTGTACAACTACTTGGTTATGCCTAAGTTCTGTCTCTTAAAATATGTTCTTTTAGAGAATCCATTTAATCATCTTATTCTTCAATTTTCTCCAAACAGTGCTAGAAGTACAATTTGATGGACAGAATAAACAAAATTGTTTTCCATCACACCCAGATCATACTGATATCTACAGTATAGTCCTGGCTACAAGGGAGCTCAACTCTAACTCGTGATGTGGGCCTGGTTTAGAAAGTAACGACGAGGTGGTAACTAATGATAGTGCTAGTTGTTATCAAAAATTAACAACTTTAGGTATTTTTGTTTTGGGTTTTTGCGGTTTAGGTGCATCCAAAATTTCTTCATAGTCTGCACTCATTCCCTTTGCCCAGCGACCAACTGTGACCATTCACTCTGAATTCTGACTTTCAGGGCAATCTTTCTTTAAATGTTCCACAAAGAGTCACAAAGCTTGCAGCTGCCACCATCAGCATAGAGTCCTTCGGGATTATCCAGACAAGATCTAGACAGGTGCCCCATTTCTCCACAAACAAAACATTTTGCGAAAGGAAATTCGCCAAGAGCCGGGTCTACCTTAGCCTTACACTTGGTTATTTCGTGCTCTGTGGACCCACACTTGTAACATATCCCAGTGCCCATGTTTTGATTTTCAAGGGCGGCAGGGCAATCTGCAATTCCATGACCAGGTTTTCTACAATGGAAACACACCATTGCATTTTTCTTTGTCGCTTGTCTTTTTAATCTTCTTCCTTCCCGTCGACTCTTTCTTTAAAACAACTGCAATTTTTTCCCTTACTTCCTCACTGTCTGTTGCTACAATTTGCCCATTGTGAACCATCTGTGAATTCTGTCTTAAGTATTCTATGAATTCATTCACATCTTCATTTAAGTACTCCTTTTTCTTTTTCTTCTTTTCATGTTTTGCTTGAGGTGCATCATTTTTGAGGGATAGCCTATTGGCTTCACGTTGTTTAGGATTTGGTAGGTTTTGGCTTGTTCCCTCAAAGGATCCCTTCTTCATGTCCTCCCATGATGTTGCAGGCAAGGGTCTCTTGTTACATGTGGTACTAACTCGGGCCCACCTGGTCATAATTCCATCAGAGGTACCTCACTGTGCTGCCGCGCAGCTTCTTACCGTGCACGAATCCCCCAGAGCAGTCGAGTTCCACATTTTCTTAATCCAGTCTATCATTGATGGATATTTGGGTTAGTTCCAAGTCTTTGCTACTGTGAATAGTACCTCAATAAACATACATGTGCATGTGTCTTTATAGCAGCATGATTTATAATCCTTTGGGTATATACCTGGCAATAGGATGGTTGGGTCAAATGGTATTTCTAGTTTTAGATCCTTGAGGAATCGCCACACTGTGTTCCACAATGGCTGAACTAGTTTACAGTCCCACTAACAGTGTAAAAGTGCTCCTATTTCTCCACATCCTCTCCAGCACCTACAACAGATATTTTTAACTGATAGGGAACACAGAAGAAAGAGGAAATTGGGATGAGAATAATTAGTACAGTTTAGGGTATGATATTATTAATGATAATTGTGAGATGCCAATACATAAACTGTCTGTGGAGAGGATGGGTCCAAGTTTAGATTTGTATATGTCTATGCTCAAAAAATGACCTTATTGACTAAGATGCATTTAATCTTTCTAAGTAATGCATTTAACCTTTCTAAGTCTTACTTTTCCTTTTTCACAAAATGGAACTGCTATTATATAACACAATATATGGCAAATTGTAGGTTGTATACCAGCATTATATTCATTTATTCAATCAGTATTATAATTATTTATATCAGCCATTGTGCATTTAGTACACTGGTTTGTAAAAAACACATTCCTTGTAGACAGATGAAATGTAAATGATTTGGCTTTGTGTCCCCACCCAAATCTCATCTTGAATTGTAATCTCCAGGTGTTGAGAGAGGGACCTGGGGGGAGGTGATTGGATCACAGGAGCAGTTTCCCCTATGTTGTTCTCATGATAGTGAGTGAGTTCTTAGAGATCTGATGGTTTTCTTAGTGGCAGTTTCTCCTGCTCTCTCTCTTTTCTTGCCACCTGGTGAAGAAGGTACTTTCTTCTCCTATCCCTTCTGCCATGATTTTAAGTTTCCTGAGGCCTCCCCAGCCATGTGTAACTGTGAGTCAAGTAAACATCTGTCCTTTATAAATTATTCACTCTCAGCCAGGGGAGGTGGCTCATGTCTGTAATCCCAGCACTCCCGCCAAGACAGGCAGATCACTTGAGGTAGGGAGTTCGAGACCAGCCTGACCAACATGGAGAAACCCTGTCTCTACTAAAAATACAAAATTACCGAGGCATGGTGGCACATGCCTGTAATCCCAGCTACTTGGGAGGCTGAGGCAGGAGAATTGCTTGAAACCGTGAGACAGAGGTTGCAGTGAGCTGAGATCACGCCATTGAAGTCTAGCCTGGGCAACAAGAGTGAAACTCCATCTCAAAAAAAAAAAAAAAATTACCCAGTCTCTTCTAATATCTTTATGACAGTGTGAGAACTGACAAATACATAAATCTATCTAGACTTAACGGAGAAAAATAAAGAAAAGATTAGAGTGAGAAAAACCTTCTTTGTTAAGATCGTCAAATTTTAGATTAAAATATTAAATTGGATACCTATATGTTTAGGTATCCAAAACTAAAAGTGCTCTCTTTCTTTTCTTTCAAATTCTTTTATACTTGTCATATTCATGTAAGGTAATATGGACATATTTCTCAGCTTAAAAGAAGCTCTGAAACTTGACATAAAACACTGATGATCCTGTGGAATGCACAGCAATTTCTTTAATGTTCTTTCTTTCACCTATAATTGACTTTTTTATTCAGCTTTCATATTTCTGTGCTAGGATGAAAACTGTAATTTCACTTTATTTCTCACATGATCTAGAATGTTCCTTTTTTCCCATTAAGTCTGGCTTCTTCATGTATAACTTCACTTTAGTGAGTTTTTTTAAATATATAACAAGAATGAAAGAAATTATATAAGTTATAGTGGATAGTTACTGCCAATCTCCATTCTGTCATTTTTATTAATAAAAATAAATTCCTTTAGGATAAGAATAAGTGCTTCCCAAGTAGTTATTTATTCATTCTTTAATACCTATGAATTTTTAAAGCCAGAATAATCTCACCTTCACTGAAAATTTTTTTAACTTTTGTATAGCTACTTAAAAATCAAAGGAATAAACTTTCAGACAAAAAAGAAAAAAAAAAAGAGACAATCAGTAAGTGGAAACAGATTTTTTTTTTTAAAACCAAGCAACAGGTGTCGATCTCAAGTTTTAACCACATGTTTGCCTCACTACACTATTTAAGAATGAGCAATCACTACAATTTTTCTTAAAATCATTTTATTGTATATGAAATAGTTTTGCTAAAACCAGAGTAAGCTTCTGAGAGTGAAAAATGAGAGATTTTGAAAGCTACACTTTTATTTATTTATTTACTTATTTTATTTTATTTTTTAATTTATTTTTATTTTTTGAGACAAAATCTCACTTTATTGCCCAGGCTGGAGTGCAGTGGTGCAATCTCAGCTCATTGCAAACCCTGCCTCCAGTGTTCAAGCAATTCTCCTGCCCTGACCTCCCAAGTAGCTGGGATTACAGGTGCAGGCCACCATGCCCGGCTAATTTTTGTATTTTTAGTAGAGACAGGGTTTCGCCATGTTGGCCAGGCTGGTCTCGAACTCCTGACCTCAAATGATCCACCTCCCAAAGTGCTGGGATCACAGGAGTGAGCCACTGCACCTGGCTGAAAGTTACATTGTTTAGAACTCTCCTATTAATACTGAAACAAAATGAAAACACTAAACAGTAGACCATTGCAAGTACTTTTCACTGAGTGAAATGGGGAGCTAGATCAGGATTTTTAGACAGAAGAATGGCATGCCTTGACTGATATTTTAAAGAGATGACTTTAGCTGTTGTGCAAGAACTATGAAGGTGTAAGAGAAGTAGGGAGACCATTATAAAGCTATTGTAGTATAGAGTGGAGAGATGATGGTTGTTTAGACCATTGAAGGTGATGAGAACATACTCGGGATATGTTTTGAGAAGAGTGCCATTAAGATTTCCTGAACATAGGGTCTGAAATGAGATTCAGGCTAAGGATTTTGATCTAAACAACCAGAATTAGAATTGATCATCCAGAGTGGCCATCCATGGTTTGAGTGGTTTGAAATGTAAGATCAGAAATTTAGTTACGATATATTGATTCTGTAAGTGTGGAGTTTGTGACTGATGCCTGGGTTGGTGATATAAATTTGGGAGCTGTTGACATTTAAATTGTATTTAAAGGTATACAACTATAAGAGAAAAGTGAGGGAATAATGACGCATACAACAGAGAAGAGAGTTAAGGGCTAAGATCAGAATCAGTCTGGGAGAAGAAAAGGACATGGAGAACAAATGGCCAGTGAGGTAAGAGTCAGCCATGTGGAAAGCAAATTTTAAGATGGAGGGTGAGATCAACAGTGCCAAAAGCTTCTGATAGGTCGTGTAAGATGAGGATTGAGAAACCAACATTGAATTCAGCCATGAAGTTTACTGGTGACAATTTCAGTGGAGTAGAAGTGATGAAAGCCTGATTGGAGTATGTTATAGAGCAGAGAAAAAAAAACTTGAATAAAGTGAATATAGACAGTTATTCAGAAGGTGTCACTACAAAGCAGAGAAAAGAAATGGGGTAGCTGCTGGCAGGAAGATGGAGTAGAATAGAGGTTGTTATTATTTTATTTCTTAACTTAAAACTTGAATACTATTCATGGGATGTAAATACTCTTGTCGAGATTTTATACGTTGTAAGAAAAAGTATGTAAGTCACAGTGAAACCATCAGCTTAGGAGTCACAGTGGGTCTAAATGCTAGCTCTGACACTTTCTGTTTGTGGGAACTGGTCCAAGTTAATCAGTAAGTGTCAGAACTAGCATTCAAAATCTTTTCTTTGATATTGAGTTTAGAATTATATTTTTATCTTGAATTATCTGTATGACGGCATAAGTGTGTGAGTTGAAAATAAATCTGATGTTTTAAAACAACCAGAAATTACTTTTAATTAAATGAGAAGAATAATTTTAGGGATTGAGTAGATTAACAGTTTTTTTTTTTTTTTTTTTTTTTTTAAGACTTGCTATGTAGCCCAGGGTGGAGTGATTTCGGCTCACTGCAACCTCTGCCTCCTGGGTTCAAGCAAGTCTCCTACCTTAGCCTCCCGTGTGGCTAGGATTACAAGTGTGAGCCATCATGCCCAGCTAATTTTTATATTTTTAGTACAGATGAAGTTTCACCATGTTGGCCAGACTGGTTTCAAACTTCTGATCTCAAGTGATCCATCCGCCTCAGCCTCCCAAAGTGTTGGGATTATAGGCGTGAGCTGCCGCACCTGGCTTGGTTAATAACTTTTTAAAGGAGTCACTTGTTATACAAAATTTATTAATTTGCCCAATAACACTTATAGGACTCTTTGTCTGGTGCTGTTTTAGCTGATGGTGACTAAATCAAATTTTTTTTTTTTTTAATCTTTGTATCATTTGGTAGGAGCATATATAAATCTACACAAACAGTAGGTACCATAAGAGAAATTTACAAGTTACACCAAGCAAGGGAAGAAAAGATGGACAATTTTGCCCAATGATACAGGAAGGGTTTATACAGGCAGTAAAAGGTGCATCCTGAAAGATAATTACGTGTTTCCCAGATGGGCGAGTGTAACACTGTGTTCCTGATGCATGGAGGATCCCTGGCAGAGGCCTGACTTCTCAGTTCATAGTTAGGGTAAGTAGATCAGATGCAAAGAATGACTCGTGGACAGTCAAGGGATAGTTAGGGTAAGTAGATAAGATGCCAGTGACTGGTGGATAGCAAGAACGGGGAATGGGGTTAATTCTAGAGGTAAAGATGCAGATATAGGTAGGGGCCACACCACAAAAGGCCTTGTGTGCTTTGCTAAATAATTTGTACTTTGCCTTATAAGAATTGGAGAGCTACTGAAAAATTTTACAAGCAGAGTTGATTCTATGAAAGAAAAAGGGATATTATTATTGAATGTCAGGTCTTTGGTCAAAGGAATAAAGAATCTTACCCAAAGAAGGGGAGATAGAGATTGTCATGGTCCTATAAGAGGGCAGATTTAGCTTGGAATGGGAGCGGCCATGAAGTATGTGAGAATTGAAGGTCACGTGCCATGTTTTAGGATACAGTCTCCATTGATTGTGGTAAGAGTAAGAGTAGAATAGATGGTGAGATCTAACATTATCCTCTTCTACAAATTCTGACACGTATTTATTAATGGAAAAGCATCATACTGGGAGTCAAATTATCTTCTAAGAAAGCCAGATCATCTGAAAGAGCTGAGGAGAAATAGGCTGGGGAATTTTCTTCTGCTTGAGGTGGGAAGAATATTGATCTAAGTGAAGCAATAGAGACTGCAGGGAAATGACTGGCAGATCAGTGAGGAAATGCAGCAGTAACCATGGAAAAGCTGTGAATGAGGCTGATGAGCCATCTGGGGATCTGAGTAAAGGGAGGGTTTAAGTTGGGTGCAGAGAGCAAAAAAGTGGAGAAAGACAGTGATAATGATAGGAAGGTACTTTATCTTCTTGATTTAACAAATCTTTACAGAAGAAGGAAATGGGAGCCAGTCACCCCAAATTAAGCTTACACATATATAGATGTTTATTGTCAAAAAACTTGATTGTTTAAATAAATTTGTACTTCAGTATATGTGAGAAAATTGACAAAATGGAGATTACCCACATTATCAGGAGGGCTATCTTTTCTTTGTTATACCTGGACTCCCTCCACTCCTGCCTCAAAGAGAGCGTATTTCTGATATGCACAGTGTATGAATGATTCATAAGTCTTCTTTTTTCAATTTCCCTTTTTTTCTCAGTTCAATAATGTGAATTGGACACTTGTGTAGGTTTCTAAATGGACTTCTAATCTGCTGAATTGAACAGTCAGTTATCTATTATCCCTAGCATATTTATCATACCACTGAATCAAATCAACTGGCAGCATATTTTTTATTCACATCCTTTGCTTTATAAAAAAAACGGGGAAAAAGCTGACCTTTATTAGATAAATAATCCAGACAGAGTAAAGATTAAACTTACGTTTCATTCCAATTGACCAAGAAAAAAAATAACTTCTTGACTGGAATATTTCTGTAGTTTCTCACTTGGCACAGCTTCTTTCCAGCATATGTAAGCCAACAGGTAAAAGAAAATGCTTTGTAGCTAAAAAGAAACAACATCAATTCAATATGCTTAGCAGTTTAAAGAAACCAGCTTTCTATATGGGTCAATTATTTTTGTAGTCAAAAGTCAAATGATAAACTGATGTTTGCTTGCATAAAGCATGCTTTAAAAATTGCTTTAAGAATTTATGCTGGGTATGTCAACAAGGCTGTGGAATAGGAGGCCCTAAGACCTTCCTTTATTCATGGAGAGCAAAATTCAACAATATGCTGACTGATTCCTTTTGTAAGAAATCCAGGAACCAGTTAAGAGGCTCCTGTACCCCAGGTGAATTCAAAACCAGCCACGTCAAAGTTGGTAGAAAAATTTGTGGCACTCACCAGAGCCTCTTCGCTGGCACAGGGTGGCATGATCAGAAAGAAACTCTCAACTTCTGGCTTCCCATCAAGGAGGGAAAGAGAATATGGGAACATACATCTAACATTTAGACTTAGTACCATCAAGGCTACCCAAGGAACTAGCTTTTGTCTTTCCTGGATATAAATGCTGACAGGAAATGTCACCAGTTTAGGGGCCACTGAAAACAAAGATGGTGGTTTTTAGTAGCACGTACTTGCTATTGCTTCTCTCCATAACTCAGTATAGAATGATTTTTTTAAAAACTGCAATTTATGGCTTCTCCTTGGGTAGGAAAAGAGTTGATTCGTGTGTCCATCATTCCAGTTTTGGGGCTACTATCAGAAGGACTAGTTTCTGTCTTGTCTGTCTTGGAGCACTGACAGGACCCTGCATACCCTAGAGGCCTGGAGACTGTTGAGAACAAAAAAATGTTGGGCGGCTTCTTATGTTCCAGATGTCCTCTGATACATTGGACAAAGCCTATATACCTTGTCAGCCTCTCCCTGGTCAGGGAAAATGATGGGGAATAAAGGAGCATATGTCCAACACTCCGGCTTTTAAAGAATTTGCCTGAGGGCCTGGTTTCTGTCTTATCCAACTAGAAGCACTGATGGGATGCAGCATACTTTAGAAGCACAGTACTGAAAACAAAATAATCTGATCACCTCTCAGAAATTCCAGAGAACCTGCAGTACCACAGACAGACACCAGAAAAAGCAAGAAAACATGAGCTTCACGAGACAGAAACCAGCAAAATCCCTCTAATTGCGAATTTATAAGTACAAGCAGAGTGAAGATGCACTCATATAAAAAGTTTGGAAGGCACCCAGAATCTCTAGCCAGGCTTATTTTTGAAGCTTTTTTTTTTTTTTCTTTTTTCAGTGTAAAGCCAGACCATAAAGACTGAGAGAGTTAGCTGTTTTTTTCAAATGCACAGGTCTCAACACAAGGTCATAAGGCACACAGAGAAACAGGGAATCATGACCTAGCCAAGGAAACAAAGGAACAAAACAAACCAATTCTAAGAAAATAAAGATATATAAATTACATGACAAATAATTCAAAATAACCATCATAAAGATACTCAATGAAAAATTATGGATGAATAAAATGAGAATACCAACAAAGATATAGAAAATATTATAAAAATAACCAAATAGAAATTTTGGAGCTAAAGGATACAATAACTGAGTTGAAAAATATACTAAAGAGATTCTGAGGCAGACTTCATAAAGCAGAGGAGATAATCAGTCAACTTGAAGACAGGTTATTTGAAATTATCCAGCCAGAGAAGCCAAAAATGAAAACAACAACAACAACAACAACAAAAAACCCACAATGAACTGAAGAAAGCCAAAGGGAATAATGGGCACCATCAAGCAGGCCAATATATCAATGTATCATTATGGGATTTTCAGAAAGAGAAAAAAGAAAAAAAAAGAGGGAGGAAAGCTCATTTGAAAAAGTAGTGGTCAAAAACTTCCTAAATTTGGGGAAGAAAATGAACATCCAGATTCAGGAAGCCCACTGGATGCCAACTCTGAAGAACCCCAAAAAGAACCCCAAAAAGACCCCACAGGGACATATTAGAATCAAATTATAAAAAGTCAAAGAAAAAAGACAATTTCACAAGCAGCTAGAGAAGGTGACTAATCATGTATAAGGGAACATTCATAAGCTTATTAGTGTATTTTACAGCAGAAACTTTGTAAGCCAGAAGGGAGAGAAATAATATATTCAATATGCTGAAAGAAAAACAAAACTGTCATTAAAGAATACTATATTTGATAAAACCATCCTTTAAAAATGATGAAAGAGAAATACTTTATGAGATGGATAAAAGCTGAGGGAGTTCCTCACTACAAGGCCTGCTTTATAAGAAATGCTAAACACTGTCCTTCAAATTGAAGTGAAACAATGCTATAGAGAAACACAAAAGCATCTAAAAATATAAAACTCACTGGAAAAGGTAAATATATAGACAAATACGCAATACTGTAATGGTGCTAAATAAATTACTTTTAACTCTGGTATAGCATTTAAAAGATAAAAGTACAAAAATAGCTACAACAATATATTAATGGAGATGCAATATAAAAAGATGTAGTTTGTAACATCAATAACATAAAGTGTCGTGGGAGGAGAAATAAAAGCACAGAGTTTTCAGATATGATTGAATTTAAGTTAACAGCTTAAAGAAGGTTGTTATAAATACAAGATATTTTGTATTAGACTCACGGTGAACACAAAATGAAACCTGTGGAAGATACACAAAAAATAAACCAGAAAAAAATCAAAACATGTCACAACCAAAAAAATCCAAGCAAGTCATTACCAAAAAAAAAAAAAAAATTCTATGAACTCTATGAACACTAAAAAACACAACCAGAGAGGCAAAGACAAAGAAGCTACAAGACAGAAAACAATTGACAAAGTGGTAATAGTATAAGTCCTTTACTATCAATTACTTTAAAAGCAAATAGATTAAATTCCCCAATCAAAAGACATTATCCATTTAACCAACAGCATGGCTAAATGGACAAAAAGTATGTAAGATCCAACTAGATGCTACTCACAAAAGCCTCAATTTAGATTTAAGGACACAAATAGGTAAAAAATGAAAGGATAAAATAGCTATTCTATGCAAATAGTAACCAAGGGGAGCAGTGGTGGCTACACTTACACCACGAAAGCCAAGTGTAAGTAAAAAACTGTAACAAGAAAAAAAGAAGGAAATTATATAATGACAAAAAGGTAAATTGACCAGGAAGATACAAGAATTTTAAATATATCCGCACCCAACATCAGAACACCCAATATATAAAGCAATATCTGAACCCAACATATAATGCATTGACAGAGCTGAAGGAACAGACAGCAATACAATAATACTAGACATCATAACCCACTTTTAATAAGTAGAACATCCAGATAGAAGGTAAGAACAGAGGATTAGAACAACACTATAGACCAAATGGACCTAACAGATATATACAGAACATTCTACTCAGCAGGAGCAGAATACATATTCTTCCGAAGCCAACAGGAAACACCCTCCAGGCTAGATGACATATTAGGTCACAAAACAAATCTCAACAAATTTAAGAAAATTGAAATAATATCAACTAGCTTTTCTGACCACAAGAGAATGAAATTCAAAATCAATAGCAGAAAGAAATCTGGAAAATTCACAAATAGGTGGAAATTAAACGACACACTCTGGCAAAACCAACGGTTCAAAGAAGAAATCAAAAGGGCAATTACAAAACATCTCAGAATTGGCAGTGCTTACAGTCTCAGCTTGAGGAGAGTATCCTGCCCAGGTGCAGTGGCTGCCATTGAGATCCACCTGAGATCTTTTGCCTCCAGCCTTTCAGCACTCCCAGGCTGCAGCTCCTGCACCTGTTCAGCTTGCTCACTCACCCTACCTTCCCTGTAGCCTGCTGCACCATGGAGTTGCCATTAGTGGCACCAGTGGCAGTTGAGCTGGTCTGCAGCAGCAGGTACCAACATTTATAGAATGAGGAAGAGCCTGAGGAACCTGAGAAGGCTTCAGGTGAGGTTCCTCCATCTTATGGCATCAACTCTGCAGAGAGTATGATGTATTTGACTACAATGATGAGTCTAATTTTCCAAAGCCCCCGTTTTACAATGTGGTTGTAAACATTACCAATTTATAATCAAGTCATGAGAATCAAGGCTGAAGCTATTTCTTTGGTTCCTGGAAGAGATGAGGATTTTGTGGGACAGGATGATTTTGATGATGATGACCAGCTGAGGATAGGATTTTTTTTTTTTTTTTTTTTTTTTGGTTAACTTTTTCCTGGCATTCTTCTTAACTGGATTAAGTTTTTCCCTGTCTTTTTGCCTGACTGCTTCAGTGGCAGGAAGGTATGACACTATTTCAGAATTTGGTCTCTTTCTAATTAAGTGGGTCCTGAGAGTCAGATTTCTAACCTGTTTTCCTTGATACGTTCATGGTCAGCACTGCTGCTGTGAGATGAACCAAATGCTGAGTTAAGATGCCCTATCCAATGTGATGATCATAAATTATTAGACATCTTGGGGTAAAAATGATCTCAAATTATCCTTACATTTTAAATGGATAAGAATCCCAGTTTGCTGGCATAAAGCCAAGTGTGGGATGCAAGTGCCTAGCAGACCACTTCTGGTAAGCAGAACTGGCAAATGTTAGTTTGGTAAAGAAACTAAACCTAAAGTTAGCAGAAGAAAAGACATAATAAATATGAGAGCAGAAAAAAATGGAATACAGAATATTAAAAATAGAACTACCATATAATCTAGCAATCCTACTTCTGGGTGTTTATCCAAAAGAACTGAATTAAGATCTTGAAGAGCTATCTGAACTCCCATGTTCGTTTCAACATTGTTCATAGTAGCCATGATGTAGAAAGAATCTAAATGTCCACCAATGGGTGAATAAAGAGAACATGGTATATACATACAATGATATAGTATTCACTCTTGACAAAGAAGAAAATCCTGTCATACTACAACATGGATGAATATTAAGGACATCATGCTAAATGAAATAAGCCAATCACAGAAAGCCAAATACTAAATATACCACTTCATGAAAGCAAAAAGTAGAATGTTGTTTACCAGGGACTTGGGGATAG